TTCCTATATCATAGGCTTAGCAAGCTTGAGCAGCGTGTCCTCCATGACTCTGCGAGAGCGAAGGAGTAACAGCAGTCGATAGCTTTAAATGAGAACGAGTTGCTATTATTATTATCTGCTTGCTGTTGTTAGAATATTGATTGATATTATACAATATTTAACGTCAGATTTATAGAAAGCCCACAGTTGGCCTCTAACTGACCATCGTCGTCAACTAGAAGCCAGTTACCACACAAAACATATACGGTAAAAGTCATTCATGGTAAAAAAACAAAATGTACCGTATGGGTAAGGTGCCACAAATTGGAAGCTAGAGTAGGGGTGTCTTCGTGGCAAATTTGACACAAGACATCTTATCTCTTTGAGCGCCACCATCTCAAGGAGGAATCCGAACAACACAATGGATAATTTTGGATGCTGGATTGCTGGGGTTGAGAGATTTTGGATGGCCAATGTTATTTGTACATTGCCAAGTACCCTCTATACCTAACTACTGTGTACTGTAGTACTACTATTACTACTACTGTATCCGTGGGTCGAATGTACAGAGGGCGAAATTTTCCGCTTCTGTCCCGGTTTCCACCTCGTACTTACGGAGTATACTGTACAGTCAGCACATACCTATTCGGGAGTAGAGTACATCACCGGTTAATTTTAGAGATGATTCCACCCCATCGATCTGATCTTTACGGAGTATGGAATGGAATTGGTATGGACCCGTAGTTTTTGGTCAACCAGTGCCGAAGGCTTTCCTGATATAGCCCATGCAAGTCCGGGTCAGGAACAACCACTCATCACTCATTGTTAATCGTAATGTACGTACGGAGTAAGTTCATAAACTACACAACTGCAAGCAGCGTTATGCGGGCCTTCAATCCCCATATTCTCTGACAAAAATACCCGACTGTTGCTGAAGAATATGAAATTTACTACTAGCATGAGCGACTAGAGTGTTAGGCGTACTTCTGGAAGTGGGGAATTGCCGATCGCAGCTAGTGGAACCGTGAACGTTGCCGAATTTACCTACCCTGTCCGCACTCGTCGAGGACAGTGTAAATTATCAATTTCCCCTGGCAGTAACCATACAGAAAACATACCGTGTACAGTATTAGGTAGTAGTAGGTATGTATGGTACGCATACAAGGCAAAGTTCCGTCTCTCCACTAAAACCTGAGGCATCTGAAAGTCTGTAATCACTAAGAACAATAATACGAACGGTACCACTCCTATCCGGTTGCAGTTGTGATTCAGCATTCGACGTTCTGTCTCCCTCTCCACTTTTTGTTTCTTATTCCTTTTCTGTTTTGAACTCTGATCTCTTCACCATACCCTTCTGACTTTTGTTTTAGTTTTATTCGTCTTCCTACTATCTATCCCATGGCACCCTATTTATCGGCTTGGGTACGTCAATGTTATTTTCCTTTTCCCCTCTTCTGGTTCACCTCTTTTTTTTTTTTTTTTTTTTCTTCCCCTTTGGCGGTTCTGCTCGTTTTCCGCCGCACTAATTGATCTTCTTCCCCTGACCAAAGTCCAGGCTGATAGACGATCACAATTGCTTCTTTCTACATGATCGTTCCCTCTCACTTTTAACGCACCCCCTCATTAACTTTATTGCGGGCATGAAACATCTATCTACAATATCGCGACTGCTCTATAGCTCTGACTTAAAGTACGACGTCGTCCTGAGTAGTCCCGTCCGCGACTGAAGTTGCTTCTTGGGAGTCTTTCAGGGATCCTTCGGCCACACTCGGACTTTTAGATTCAAGATTATCAATTTTTCCAGCAAACATTCAGTCATCTGAGTCTCAAGGAGCCCTTCCTGTGAAACTCGTGGCCATAGGCCAATTCTCAGTCACAACGAGTGACAGCTTTCGTCAAATTGGCTCGGAAAAGAGTCAGTTCAGATTCTGAGATGTCCGTATCTTCAGCAGGTATGACGGAGCCTTTTCCATATGTTCTGCGCTATAGCATAGTTCTGCACTTTCCATATCTGTGAAATGGTCGAATGGCACGCTGAACCTCTTGCAGCGGCGCCGTCGGCGCCAGCGGCAACCACTGCCGAAGCCGCCACGCCGACATCAGAAACGCCCATTACAACACCATCTGAAACGTCTACCACATCTGAGCCAACAACGTCCTCTTCTACAACATCTTCTTCCTCTTCGTCGTCAACCTCCACATCATCGACCTCGTTGTCAACGGCTTCTACAACTACCGCGACGCAGCCACCGACATCTAGCACTACCAGTATCCCTTCTACGAGCTCAGAAACCTCGACCACAAGCAGCGACACGAATACCACCCCAGTTGTTACATCAATCATCACGAAGTCAGCGACTGATGGTACCACAGGGCCACAGACTGTTATTGTTACCTCCACCGATACCTCTCTACCCACTCATTCCACAGGGAATTCAGCCAATAACATATCCGCCACCGCAACTGGATCATCGGCGACAGCATCGGCTACAAGCGGAAGCGGAAGCGGTGGCTCTGGGCTTTCGGCTGGTGGAACAATAGCCGTTGCAGTGGTTGTACCGGTCGCCTCCGTAGCAATCATTATCTTAGCTGCTTTGTATTTTTGGAGGAAATGGAAAGCAAAGAAAGCAGCAGAAGAGGAACGAAGGAAGGAGGTAGAGGAGTACGGTTTCAATCCGAATAATGACCCAACTCTTCCACCTATCATGGGAGGCGGTGCTTTCGAGCCCAAGGATGATACCTCGGGTTATCGAGGATGGGGGACCACGTCGGCTGGTCGCAAAGCATCCACTAATTTGTCCAGTGGTGCTGGGGTTGGACTGGCAATGTCCGAGGCAGGGAGTGCCCCTGGCTATCATCATGTCACTACCCCAAGCGATGGTACTATTCAATATTCTGAGGGTCCAGCAGCGGGTGAGACAGATCCTATCGGCGTTCTCGGAGCTGCCCCGGTTGCTGCAGCAAACAACAGAACCACAGATATACATCGTGGTCCATCTAACGCCTCATCCGCATATTCTGCAGCCAACCGCTCGGAGGCTTCAGATGAAAGTCATATGTCTGCTACCCATCCTACCGGTCCTTTTTACGATGATAACCCGTACTACAATGAGATGCAACCGCAGTACGGGGCATATGGTGATGGCCCCTATGGTGGAAGTCCACCTGTGATTCGAGACGTTCAGGCACGGCGCAATACTCGCATCGAGAACCCTGCTGTCTTTCCCAGACAAGGAAATGCTGGAATCGCTCAAAATTTCTGAGAAAAGCCCTCAATACGCCCTAACATTACTATACACTTGTTGATGGCGTTTTCAAAACCGGCAGATTTGATAAGGAGAAGCAGTGACTCTTGTACACCTCCCGGTGGCCATCCGAAAGTAGTGGAATCACAAGTGTCTGCAACCTGCGCATCACTTCATGATGACCCGCATGCCTTCTCTTGATGAAGCCTCGGCTATACTGGAAGACTTTATCAAGATCTTATATCGTATTTTATCCTATTTATCAACTTCGTCTATGTTTTATATTCCAATGGCGGCTGTCTACCTTGCGCTCTCACTTTTTTTCCTTTTGTGGCTATTGTGATATCTTTGGGTCTGGTGGCTCCTCTGTTTCATTTGAATAGTTCTTGTGCTGTTGGTTTCTCGTTCTTATTCCCAGTTATATCCCGAATTTGCAGTACGGTCTTTCTTTTCTCTTTGTCCCTCTTTGCTATTTTGTCTTTCTATTCTTGTATCTGTATATTTATGACCGCTCCCAAGTGCCAACCATGTGTGTCAATGCGTGCCTGCTATCTCTTTAGTACGTGACTGGAATGGGTCAAGGTCACCTACCACCTTTTTTTTCTCTGTGATATCTTCTTCCACTTATCCTTCTGCTCCACTGTCCACTGTTTGATTTGAAGTTTATCTGGGTTTGGATATAGTGTATTGTACATCGCGTGCATCTCTGTCTATATTCGGATGCAATAACCTTGGTGGATCATCTTTTCTTTTCTTGTTTACTTTTAGCCTCTTTGCCTCTAATTGGAGCATGATTGATTGCATAACAGGGTTCTTCTAAAGATTTTCCTCGGTCATGTTTGCCGTGGCCATTCAATTCGCCATCCGTGTAGACTTGCTACTACTACATGGGAGTATATGTTCTTCATGAAATTGAAGTTCAGCATTGCTCAATCTGCCATCCTTATATTGCAAAGGAGACTTCTCTTTGCCGTAAAAACTTAACAAAATGACTGCAAGGAAGGGGGGTGGAGGCGGAGGGGTTGAGAAGAAATAGAAGAAAGCAAAGCAAAGAAAACTACTAAATTTTTGCTGTCGCGATTAGGTGGTTAAAGTGCTATTAACAAGGATAATTCCCAATAGCCAAGGCCTGTTTAACCCCCTTCAGTAGTGCAGCACTACTAGGTAGGTAATAGTAAGTACTCCGTAGTTGAACATGCCGATATCGTGACAGTTATGGTTAGTGTTGTGCATGGTTGGAGCGCGGAAGTAAAAGGGAACGTGGGCGCACGGCCATTAGTGATTGGCCCGGGACTAGCTCTCCAAAGCTCCCCACTCGCCCTCCTCTGACCTCTAACCTGACGTGATTTTTCCCGAGACGAGTCCTTATTGTTCATGCTGTCCTTCTGATGTTCCACTCTAATTCGCTGCTTGCATTATTGCTCCTGCTATTATAACGACGGTATTGGCTGGGGAATTTTGGCTTCTCTTTCCCTCTTTTCCTCATTCGTCTCCCATCGTTTAACACCTATGCTGTCCGCTGAAGTCGAGTGCCCCGCACTGCCCAGGTCTCTCCTCCAGTGACTGACTCCAGTTGAATGAACAATTACAGACGGCATGCAGTAGTAGCCTGAAAGGTAGACTAAGTACCAGCTGGCTACAAGACGAGCATCCCTCCGTACGAACTGCCAATACCCATAGAGACCAAGGGCTCCCTGGTGCGATATTCGTGCTGCTTCTTGTCCTTTGTTTCAGCTAGGTCTCGTGGCTAGCGATTGTGTACAAGACAGTACTTGCCTATTTACTACTCGCGATTACATTTTGCATGTCCACGCTACAACAAAACATTAAAGCACTACAACGGCTGTTACCTGCTTGTCTACTCCCCTTTCGCCCCACTTCGGGTTACGTCCCTTTTTCACTTGCCCACCCCTCCCCTCTACTACATTCTGTTGAAGCATTCGAGAGAGGCAATTGCTGCTACTTTCACTCTCTTCCCTCCCTCGCTCCCCCCTCCTCTTCTGTCCCTTTACCACATAAACATTGCAATTGGAACATCCCGGGTACCCGTCCCGACTCCCGTCCTTGTTCAACCTTTAGGCTTTGCCTTATCAGGTGTGAGTGCATCAAGGGTCCGGGAGAGTGTCGGCTTCCGCAAAAAAGCTTACCAAGATGTAAGTGAATATAATTTCCCATATGAGAGCTGAATTGTGTCACAGGCAACTAGCCCTTAGCGATCTATGGTCTGTAACCTACAAGGCTAACCGTTCCGTTCATAGGAAGTTCGGCAAACAAATCCAGCGCAGACAACTCGACCTTCCTGAATATGCCGCAAGTTTCGTAAATTACAAGGCCCTGAAGAAGGTCGGTACCCAGAGAGGGATCGCAGTGCTAAGAGTTCTATGGCTAAGGTTTAGATGACAGCTCATAAAGCAACTAAGTGCTACGCCGACCATCCCCGCTCAAAGCTCTGCAGGCGCAACTCAAGATGTTCCCGAAGCGCAAGCCGCCCTTCGCGCAAACAAGGAGGTATTCTTCTTTCGGTTGGTAGGGGCTCCTTAATCGATGTGTTGAGGGGGATTCGCGTTGATTAACAACCCATACAGGAAAGAGAAATCGAAAAAGTCAACACATTCTACTTACAAAAAGAAGCCGAGGTTTGCTTTCATATTAGGCACATTTTGGTCCACCGGGTATACTTATCTAGCCTCATAGTTCTCTCTGCGATTGAAAACGCTAGTCGATAAGAAAAGGGTCATTCAATCACGAACAGTACCCAGTTCCAAGGCACCAGCTAATTTTGTTGCCTTATTCGAGGGGTTTCAACAATTCGATGGCGATCTGAACAAGTTGCAAGTAAGCATGTTGTTTCCGACTATCTTGCGCACGGGAGAGTCTAATTTTACCTTTTTCAACAAAGCAATTCGTCGAGATCAACGAGACTGCTATGTCAAAGATCCTCAAAAAGGTTCGTGGGTATTTTGGCTTACTAGGTTCGGGATAGCTAACATTTTAGTTAGTGGGATAAAACTTCAAAGGTTCGAGTTATTCATAGACACCTACCCCCATTCGGATTGCGTTTTCTGCCTTACTGACCTTTGAATTAGTCGCGTATGAAGGAGTTATACCTCCACCGGGCCGTCGAAGTACAGCCCTGTTTCAATCGGGACGTTTTACGTGATCTATCAGACCGGGCAACAACCGCTCGGCTGGAACTCGAGGCATGGGCGGAAGGCGAGAACATCCATTTCGATGCTGCTCGTCCGGTAGACCGCGCTGCAGCTGTTCAACCGTTTGGAGCCGATGAGGAAGATCTTGACCTGCAAATCCTGCAGTCAGCCACTGCTGGTAACCCTCAGACATTGCGTGAGTGGACCGCGAAACTGCAATCATCTCCTGATGCTCGTGAACGCGCGACTCGTACCTTCCTTGCCGCTATCAATGAATTTTCAGACGATGTGTTGGCAGTCCTTCTTGAAAGCGGATTGGTTGATATATACGCTGAAGACGACATCAACGAACGCAACTGTTTGCATGAAGCAGCCATCTCAGGACGAGGGTTTGTTTTCAAGTCCGGCCTTGCGGCAGGTGTCGATATCTCAAGGTCCGATGTTTACGGCAGACTTCCTCTACATTATGCGTGTATACACGGCCGGGTAGAGATGGTGAAAGATTTATTAGCTGCAGGTCCTCACACTGTCGACGTGATGGACCACGACAATTTTACCCCTCTGATTCACAGTATTGTCAAAGGTCAGCTTACGTGTGCTGAGCAACTTCTTCACAGCAATGCTCGGATTGATCCAGCTTCTGAATCAGACCACATTCCACTGAACCTGGCATGCCAGCATGGATCGCTTCCAATTGTGCGGATGCTTCTCGAACGACATGCACAATTACTCCCAGATGCAGAAGGCCTCTATCCTCAACATATGGTCGCAAGAGCTTCTCAGTCTCCGCAATTGCTAATAATGCTCAAACAACATGGGGCTAATTTGAACCAGAAAGACAAACTGTACCAATGGACACCGCTGTTTCATGCTGCGAGTGAAGGCTGCGTTGACTGCCTGCGCGCTCTTCTTGAATTGGGTGTTGACGCCGATGTTGTAGACGAGAAGGGCCTCGCTGCAATGTATTATGCAGCATGGGAAGGTCACTTAGAGTGCATGCTACTTCTTTGGTCGCATCGTAGCAATTCTCGTCCACCACAGAAGCCGTTTGATATTCTGAATGGTTTGAGGCTACAAGAAGCAGGTCACTTAGCTGGCTCGCATATGGAGGATGCTACGACGACTTTCGATAGTACTGAGGTAGTGGATGGTATACCCGATCTTTCTCTCCCGCCACCAATCATACCTTTACGTCGTTATGGCCATAACTTTTTGGACAAGAAAGTGTTCGTGCAAATACTTTTTGACACCGGAAACTCTGGTTCGATTATCTTTGATCAGGCGGGCCGTCACCCTGCGGCTCGATTAACCATTTCCTCGAAACTCTCTGACTTGATTCCACGCACCATTATGCTACCCATCCAAGAGGATTCACGATTGATCTCATTTCAGGTAGATAACCTAGAGACATTTGCAGTGGATTTCGAGATATTCCCCACTTTCGGCTCGAAAGTGATTGCTAAGACAGTTGCGCTACCGACTGTATTCAAAGCTGAGACCTCTAGCACTGGCTCGTGTTGCTTGCCGTTATTTGATCCTAGGCTACGGTCAATAGGGCAGCTACGATTTGGCTTCCAAGTGATAAAGCCGTACCATGGCGATCCCCTGGAAATCACACACTTTGCTACCTATTGGAAGGCTACAAGTGCCATCGACTCAGAACACAATGGTCTGGTAACAGGGTCGAGCTTGTCTGGAGATCATGTTCAGCTTTTCGTGCAACTCACCAAAGACAGAATACCCGTGCTCTATCCTTGTTTTACAGTCCTACACCATGGCATTGAATTGCCTATCTGCCATCTCACATACTCTCAGTTCCAAGCCATCGGTGTTGAGAAAGGCGTGAATCACCTAGACTTGTTCCAGCATCTTCAGGCGCGTGCTGTTGATGATTTAGCTCAAGCGCACCGCATACTAGCATCATCATTCCTCTCCCTCAAGGAGGTACTCCTGCGCCTCCCTATTGGTGTCAATGTCAATCTCTCGATACTCTATCCCTCGGCTGCTGAAGAGCAAGCGCTGAATATGGTATCTTTAGCTGATGTAAATAGCTTTGCTGATGCCGTTCTCACGGTGGTTTTCGATCATGCCCGTGTGTCACGGGATCAGAACCCTGAGTTTATGCGTTCGGTGGTATTTACCTCGTACAATCCTAATGTGTGTGTTGCTCTGAACTGGAAACAACCAAATTGTGAGTCTAAAGGTCCCACTAAAACCCATTACATGGTTTGCTAACTTGCATTCCTAAGATCCTGTTCTTCTTTGCAATGATCTAGGTCAAATTCGTGATTTGACCCGAGGTGTTGGGTCACTTCCAGACATTAATAGTAGTGGTCGTGCATCGATGTCCATAAAAGAGTCAGCAAGGATAGCGCAAAGCAACAATTTCATGGGCTTGATATGCCGGTCCAGCCTATTGGTACGTGTCTCTGCCCCTATATGCTTGCTCCCTACGTATTTCCCATTCTTGGTATACTATGCATTAAGGTCACCTACTAATACAGAGCTTCTGTGGCTGCTTCAGAACGTTGTACCGGCTCTTGTAGAGACTATTAAGGAACTTGGTCTCGTACTTGTAGCAGATACGTCCGACGAAGTTGAACCTTCAGGCCATAAAGAAGTTCTAGGAGCAGCGAATGCGATGGGTGTGGCCGAATGGGCATACCGAATGCCTGATGGTGTGAACGGTGTGATGAAAGCCAATGGTATTTTGAGATTTAACGATATGATTGACATGTGAGACATTCTTATATACATATTTCGTCTTTTCATTCAACTCGGGTGTTGTTAACTTAGGTATATATTAAGGTCTTTATGGCGTGGAAGATAATGGGTCTCTATTGCATTTCTGACTTTCCTTTGTGTTTGGTTTGGGCCGCTGCTTTGCATTTTCACACCCAGCTGTCAAGCATCTGAGTTATCCTTCTGGTCTCATCGAGGTTTCGTACAAACTATATAAAAAGGCAAAAGGAAAAGGAAAAGGGCGAAAAAAAATTTTTTCAAAAATAAATTGGAGAGAGGATACACATCCGTTTTTCATCTTAATAATACCTTGCCAACTATGTGCTCCGCTTTTCCCTTTTTTGAAATATTTTCTTCTTATGGGCTATTACTTGACGCACCTGTGTTATAAGAATACCCGTTAGGAAAACATAAGAGTTGAGAGGAACACTTAAAAGTCATGCATCCCGGGAATCTAGATATAACAGCTAATGTACAATTAAACCGTGAAACTGATCTCTAGTTGACCATTGCTATACCACAAATCCCATACAGAAAAAGAAAGGTGGCCAGACCATGCCTTTCATGTCCTTGAAGAGCAGTGGGCCGAATTACATACCCTTCGGTTTACCTTTGACAATATCCCAGCCCCATTGCCGCAAGGCCTTGACAACTTTTGGAGTTATAGCAGCAGTCAGAGGCACACGAATGAAGATAAGACTCTTGTGGATTGCATAGGCAAGCGCAACCTGTGTCCATAGACCTGCACAGATAGTAGTTAGTGAACACTCCACACAACGCACGTACTAGAAGAGTCCTGCAAGGATAACATACTCGCCCCTTCATCTAATTTTTTCTCTACCACACTCCCCTCCACATCACCCTTTGAAGGATCGGCCCTAGGATCTGTCTGTTCACTGAAATGCTCCTCTTGCACACTGGGAAGCACAGTGCCGACTGCACCCTTAAAAGCCTCAACGACTACATGCTCATAATGACCAATTTTCTCCGCCCCAAGGAAGCGAACGGCGGCAAAACAGAACGGGAAATCCATTGCAGACAATAGTAGATACACCCCCAAGGCGGACCAGCCGTACTCCCGAGAAAGCCCCTTTAACCGCTGTGAGAGCGAACCGGGTTGCCCCGTCTGCGGTGAGCTGTTTGACCTGGATGAGCGAAAGAGTCGACGGAAAACCGAAGCCTGTTGGGTACGAGAAAAGTTCCGCATATTACTAGACCGGGGTCTTATCCGGCTAGAAAGAAAGCTGTTTTTGTCGGCTGGAAGGGAAAAGGCGCGGCGGAACGTATTAAAGGAAGCTGGTGGCTGGATCATCTGGACGTTTTTCCTGGCTAATCTTGACGGTAGCACATGCCACCCAAGACTGGAAGCTTGGGAAAGCCAGCGCGACATAGTGAGATGTCTCAAAGACATGGCTGGTGAGTATAGAAGACACCGGGGTTTGTATTCAAAGAGTAAAAGTATGGATGGGTGCTTGCAGAGTTCGTATGTTTCTTTTCCTTGCGAAAGAGAAAGAAGGCACCCACAAATCCAATCGTACTCTATCTGCAGGTCTATAAGGTTGGCAAAAAGCTATTAATGCGACGCTAAAAGATAAGAAAGGAGGAAGGCAGCGCCAGGACAATTGTAGTGGTGACGTCCCAGATAGCAAGCAGATCGCAAAATTATTCCATGAATGTTCGGCGGTCGGTGTGCCGACATGTCCGGTACGTCCGGTGCACGGTATATCTAGTATAAACAGCAAGAGCACTGCCAGTGCTGCATAGTACCGAATACCAGGAAGGTTGAATGCAGTTGCCTAATCTCCACTATGTATTGTTTAAATTAAATGCTATTTTCCAGCGGTAGAGCATACGCGGACAGAGGTAGTCGAAGTTACTATGCGCCTTACGTATGAGGCACTCATGATGAGTGCTCACCGCCCTGGATACTCTGCGCGTAGTCATAAAAATCTCGGATACGGACGAGTTCATCGGTCTCATTCAAGAAGTGCCCCTTTAGGCAACTTTGTTCCACCATGGCGCCTCGTCTACCGGGTCGGTTATTACAGTCTCCTCTATTTATTTGGGCTTCTCATTCAATAAATTGCAGCAATGTCCCGATCCGGTCGTTCGGCATCAGGTCGTTAAACCCTCCGAAAACCTCCCGGTTCAATGTCGGATCCGATCTCCCAGTGCTCAAGTCGACACCAACAGCAGCTCTAGAACGGAAAGCAGACACGCTGCCCCCAAGAACTGGAGTCATCACTATCAAGAAAGGGATGACTGCCCTCTACGATGCAGAGACAGGGAAGCGAATCGCGTGCACCGTCCTTCAGCTGGACCGAGTGGAAGTCATCTCGCATAAGACACGGCAACAGCATGGTTACTTTGCTGTCCAAGTTGGTTCTGGCTGGAAACACCCTAGTAATCTCACCAGGTCACTTCTAGGGCATTTCTCTGTTAATGGTATCTCTCCGAAACGGCACATCTTCGAGTTCCGAGTGCGGGACGAAAATGGCCTCCTGCCCGTCGGTCAGGCAATCAATGCGGACTGGTTCCAGGAAGGCCAATATGTCGATGCTCGATCAAACACAAAGGGAAAGGGATTTGCTGGTGTGATGAAAAGACATGGGTTTGGTGGTCAAGACCGAAGCCATGGCGTCAGTTTAACACATCGCTCTCTTGGTTCTGCGGGTCCCAGTCAAGGCGGTGGATCCAGAGTGTATCCTGGGAAGAAGATGGCAGGAAATATGGGCAATGAGCAGAATACGGTACAAAACCTGAAGATTCTCAAGGTTGACTCGCAAAATGGGATTGTTGTTGTCAACGGTAGGATTTCTCTACTCCTAGGTGCTTTGTGCTATGCTAATTTGGGTATTCCTCGTCAGGCGCTGTCAGTGGGCCGAAAGGCTGCATCGTCAGGATCCAAGATGCCATCAAGAAACCATGGCCCGAAGTCGTATCTCCATCTGAACCAGTTCTGTAACCTAATAGATGGTTGCCTTGCTTCTGAGAATGTACTATTACAATATATTGTTTCACAAAGCGGCGTCTGTATATGATACATAAATGATATCCTGTTATCCTTCTTTCCCTCTCCCTATTTCATTCCCATCAATGAAATTTCCCTCGGGTCTGTCCCTGCGGCCTTTGTACTCTGAAGTACCGTCGCTCCGTACCGGAATGGAGTGAAGGAGCCAAAAAGTGCCATGACCCCGGCGCTTACATGCCTAGATTAGTGCACGGAGAGCTTCAAGATATACAATGATGAAAGTGCTGCACAATACCATGCATATGCAAGGATGCAGCTTCTAGGGGAACTTGGCGGTAATTAGTCGTGCTGACGAAATGGGTCACCAGCGCTCTCAAGGAGCTGAACGACAGTGCCATCCTCCGTCTCTAGACTCCATTCCTCAGTACGAAACTGGAACAAAACTGTTAGTAGAGCACCATCGGATAAAGAAGGGGGCAGTGTGTTTGTTTATAACGAACATAGCTCATTCGGTCTGGCCTGATGCTGCGGAACCTCATAGTACCCTGCGACTTTGTTCCTTTGACCCTGAAGGATATGTCGATACGTCCATGTAGCTGATTCATTTCCCCACTGATCCATGGTATCTTTTGAGCAAAGTAAATCTCATCGCCCAGGATTTCGCGAGCACGCGGGGAGGTGCGAAGAGCATAAAGGGTACTGCTGACCACGCTTGAAGACGACTTCTGGTAGTTGAAAATCCCTAGCATCGCAGCTCCGACGGCGATAGCAAATATTGGTAAGGTCCGCATCCACCGTCGGTCCTTGTTTACAGAGGGCAGTTCGCGGTCTGCCCGTCGTTCCATCAAAGGGCCCGAGTTGGCGTGCGGGGCAGGAGTGAGATTGCGACGTAGAAAAGTCCGGCCAGGAGAGAATGGGGTTCGCACGGCGTTAATGCGCCGCTGCGCAATATGCAGAGCCATTTCTGGGTAAAGACAAGTCCAGATGGCTAGCTAACTGATATGATACAAAGGCGAGCTTAGTCATATATCAATTGCATGGGCACGACGATAGTAGATCATGATATGTTAGCAACCTAGCAGTTCCTTTCGGGGCAGATGTGGCTTGTGGAGCGGAGAGGGACAACCAAACAAGACAAACTGCGGAGGTAGGAATGATGACCTAGCAATAAATATATAGAGTATGTAATGTCATCTTCCGCTGTACATACAACAACTTGAAGGGCAATTTGTCACTGTGCAACTTTAAGAGGACAACACTACTTGGACCCATGGCAACTGCACGGCTGCGCAAGGCGTTTCGTTATCCTGATGATTCGGGTGATGAGGAGCATGAACGTGAAGAGCTAGACGAGGAGGGTATGTTATGGACATGTTAGACTCAATACAATTTCCCGCTAACAATTTCGCAGAGCAGGATTTAGTGATAGAACGCTTGCGAGCGCAAAATAATAAGCGCAATGCAGAATATACTGTAAATGACTCTTTTCAGAAGTTGTCACTCTGAGCATTGTTAAACGTGAAACTCAAACTTGGTGCCTCCATCAAATAGGTTATCTTCGCTGCCATCCCAATATTATCGATCTCACTTTTCATTCCGTCAGTGATTCGGCAAGGCTCAGGCTTACAGGAGCATTTCCTTTCATTCTTAAGCATTCTTTCGTTGATAGCCACGGCATACACTATGAAGTACTTCCCCTTCCAGCGTCCAGATTTGAAGGGCAAAGGATCCATGCGAGGTTCAGGTACCCTCACCCGCCTTCGGAAGTTTATTTTCCCTGTAAATACCGCAATATGTGGCCTGTTGCTATTGGTGTGGCTCTTCTCCCCGGTAGAACCACCTCGCGATAGACAGCGAAAAGCATATATTGTTCCCGGAGGTGAGTGTTTCTCGTAGTTGTCTCTCAATATGGTCGCAGCCGTTTCTTCAGGAAAATGGAAATAACTTTATATATTGCAGGAATGCTTGTAATCATCATGTTGGCACGGAAAATGATGGTCTCTGTTGACCTTAAACATCTTGAGGATCTCCGATACGGGTATAAAGGAGTTTAGGGCTTATGGCATAGCTACTGATTAGTTAGACTAATCATATACAACCAGCACTCAATTTTCTCTTTTCTCCATACCTTCCGCCCTCCCTTGCCGCTCCTTTTCGTCTTGTACAGTCGCAACTGACTGGATATTCACAAGGCTTTCTTCGTTGTCTAAGACCAACGCTTCGTGGATGCCCGAGGTCATCCGTGTCTCATTCTTCTTCGAATGGCATCAGTATATGGATAGTCATGCCAAATAGTCCAATGGCTCCAGCCACTCCATCCGCCAATGAAGAGATTATAGGGGGGTTAAAAAATTTAGATAGATCTTTCCTAATACATTATTGGATCCATATCACCATTCTAGGTGTCCTTGTTTGTCATGTCTGCGGCGCTTCCTGGCTTTTTCAAGCGAATCTGCACATGTCACTGACTGGTTTCCGGCGGAGTGAGGACAGATCCATCCAATTTCTCCAGTGCAGGATCAACGGGTATTTCTCTATAGTCCTTGAAGTACCCAGTTGCAGGAGAAGTCAATTGGACACTCTCTGGATACTCGCTCACCGCCCTGGGGAACTCTAGCTCAATACAATTATCAACCAAGGCTTTGCTGCGCTTCTCATCCGCCTCTTTCTGATGTCTTTTCAGTCGACCTACTTCATCATCACCAGCCTTCTTCAACCATCTGAGGTTGGACTGACGGAAATCCACCAAACTTTCCACGCTGCGCGGATCTGCTACCTTCCTGGTGTCGTGGCCCAATAAAGTGCATCTTGGTTCGTAAGGATTCATGGTCGGATCTCGACGGCATGCGGCGCAACTGCAAATTTTCTGACATCTAGGACACATCCAGTGATACATCTCCATGGTATCCTGTGGTTGGATATTAAAGGCCCTGAAGAGACTACCATAGCAGTAACTCAAGTTGCAGTATGAGCATGAGGCGAGCTTCCACATAGGTTCAGCACACTTGCAAATATGGCATCGGCCACCACTTGTGTACGTATCACCTTTGTGAGTTTTCCTTCGCTTCCGAGTAGGGGTAGCATTCTCCGAACCACTGTTCTTTTCCTCTATTCGCTGAGAGCCTGGATTTGTGACATCGACCCAAGGGCGACGTTTCATCTGTTCATGGCATATCTCGGCTAGAGACTTTTTGCCCAGCTGAGCCCTCTTCGCGGGGAGACATGGGTATTTATCACTCCTAGCCTCGGCGAACCTTAGTAATTGCTGCCTCCACTTCTCATACTTTCCGGTCAGTTCACTCCAACGGAACTGCTCGACCCACTTTAACCTTGATATACAAGCACAGCTTCTGCCCATGGTATAGCACTCCATGCAAATGTCGTATGTATCATCTCCCTCACCAATGCACCAGGGGCAAGTCAAAAACCTATTGAATATGTTGCCTCGACAATATGAGCAAGTAATATTGCTATCGAAAGAAACGTATTCAATATCCTTTTCTTTTGGTGGATCATGCGAAAAACTCTCGGAAAGCAGGATATGGGTATAAAGTTCAAATAAAAGCTCGTAATCCTCTAGCAGCAACTGCGCTCGAAGGTCCCAAACGCCGATGTCGCCCATCTCACAAAGAAGATCAGAATAGTGGCTGAGCGAGTAAAAGACAATGGCCTTGTTTTTGTACTGCTCATCGCGGCATACCATTCTAGCATGTGGAAGCGCCTCAAACAAGGCCAATTCTAATGTTTTTGCAATAGTTCGATTCCATGCTACTTTCATTGTTCTCGTTCCCCGGTTCCACACCTGGTGTGCGGCTAGTGGAGGAACCAAAAGAAAATCCCCCGGTCTTTGTTCGACAACATACGTTTTGAACGGGGCCGCTTTCCATGCATTAATCTGGGCAAAGTGATCCTCGATATCAATATCATGTCCCAGCGTAGACATCCAGTACTCAGCTACGACGTGGCGATCTTTGCTCTCAGTCATGAACCAGATGGAAGACCCTGGCTTGGTTGCTTTCCCGTATTCAACAGAACCATCAGATGCTTCAACCATTATGTTCTGTCCAAGGCTGGCGCACATCTCCTGGTGAGCTGGTGTGTAAGTCCCTTCGTGACCAATATAGCACATAAAGTTTTCAGCACGCATGAAGGGCGGAAGACAACTCATGAGGTCCCCGGCCTTGGCAATAGGCCTCCCTGAATCTGATCGTGCCAATAGTTCTTTGTTTGACGATAATGTCTTCGCTCCGGGGCCTTGGAACTTCTCCGGTGACTTATTTAGATAGAACAACGGAGGAGGAATAAGCTGTTTGAGGTGGTCATGCCATTTTTTGGGGCAGTCGATATCTTTAAGATAAATCCTCTGACGATTTGGATCTTTGTAGTTATGAGTAGTCCATTGATTCGTAAGGAGATGCATATTCTTCAAATAATGCCCAATAGTAAGTGGAAGGTCAGTTTTTGTCGTGAGATTCCGAGCAAATTCCGCTTCATATAAATTACGGTCAGACAGCAGGCTGCGCACGCGGGGCTGGGAGGGTTACTCACTCTTCATTGAATAGTGACTCCTCAGCCATTTCTCGGAGAATATCGAACTGTCAAGCCTCTGGTTAAACCCTTCGATAACTAGGGGCTTTCCTCCCAGAATAACATGAAGCCACACGAGCTTCTCGAAGTTCTCCAGGCCATTTGCATCAATTGCATCGCAATGTATCCTAGCTACGTATTCGAAATTTGGCGTCGAGTCTACCAAGTTCGCAATATCCAGGTCTGGAGAAATGGGCTCAAAGGCCGCCCGAGGCCGTTGAGCAGGCATTCTAGTAACTCCCAAGAAAATCTAAGGTTGGAACAACAAAGTAGCAAGAAGGTTGGCGCCTCTCCATGTGGTCTCCAATAGAAATCACAGTGAATCACCATAAGGCCTGGCAGAAGCGCATTTTCTAGGATTGGAAAGCCTTGAATCGCTCAAATCAGCACGATGTGGGCCCTTGCACAGTGATCCGGAGATGCAAGGCGGAGCAACAGCAGGGATTAAGTGGCAATCGTCTTCGGCGTCGTAGTTCAAAAAAGTATCTGCCATATCAGACTCCACAAATACTGGGAGGCGTAGAAGTTGACAATCATGACAGAGCAAAGTGAGGGAAGGCTTGATTGGAAGTAGACAGAGAGCAAGATTGTGAAGCAGCAAATCATCAAGTTCCCGCAATCGCGATATCCAAGAGCTTCTGCATGGCTGGTCTAGTAGGTACCCACTGCGCCTTCCTGCATTCGGTTAGTCCTGAATATTGTCACTGTGGGTCCTCCTTCCATTAGTGAAGGGAAAAGATCCTGGATCCTGATACTGCATAGAATGCTTAGAGTACAGGAGTCGCACACAACTCTTGAAAAGACACCAAAACCCTATACAGCTAAAGGAACACTGGCCTACAGGCTGACATCTGTGAGGGCATTCCTGCACCAGGCATCAGAACGAGTGTAGCGCAGCAATCTGACCCTTCTTACTTTTCTCACCAAGATGAACTTCAATTGACCTACCCACTAAAGCATCGAAGAAAAGCTCTTGGTATTTCGCTACAGTTGATTTCTATAGGCCACCTGATAGCCTTGGAAAATGGGGTTTACTACTCGTGTTGCCATGCATTGGAGTATGCAATCACGCAGTTGCTTGGAAGTAAGAGCAGTTCGTCACAACAGGCGTGATTTGGCGTACCTTCGACATAGTCTCTCCCCTCACTTTATTTCGGGCTGTTATACTTGGCAGAGATCTGCCCTTCTTGCTACACCCCAGCCCACTACACACGCAGGATCGGCATTAAGAAGGTTCAATTCGCACCTACCGTACTCATCACCATCAGCTACCAAATCACCCGGTACAGCAGAGCCGACCTCGGTAACTCATTACACTCCACCTAAGACAGGACTTGTTGCCTCTCTTCCTCAGTCTTGGATACCGTACGCCGAACTGATACGCCTTGACAAACCTACTGGTACATACTATCTTTTCTTCCCATGCGCATTCTCGACACTTCTCGCGGCGCCTATGACAACCTCGACCCCTTTTCAAGTTCTTGGGACGATGGGACTGTTTCTAGCGGGAGCTTTGGTCATGCGGGGTGCGGGTTGTACAATCAATGATTTGTGGGATAGGAATTTGGATCCACATGTTGAACGCACCAAGTTTCGGCCGATCGCTAGAAGGGCAGTCTCCCCGCGCAAAGCTGTAGTGTTCACTGGGATGCAGTTGCTGGCGGGATTGGGCATTCTTCTTCAATTCCCAACGCTGTGTCTTTGGTATGGAATACCTAGTCTGCTTCTTGTGACGACTTACCCCCTTGCAAAGCGCATCACGTACTACCCGCAAGCCGTTCTGGGCCTAACATTTTCATGGGGTGCGATGATGGGGTTTCCTGCGCTGGGCATAGATCTTCTCAACAACTATTCTGCCTTGGAGTCAGCAGCAGCACTCTATTCTAGCTGTGTCGCTTGGACAATCCTGTACGATATGA